AGTGTAACTGTATAGACACCATATCTACAAATATATGCCTGAAATATAATCACTTTGGAAGTCTGGTCTTGAGTGCTGTGGGAAAGAAAGGGAAAGAAACATACGGAAGATACATAACCAATAAAGCAAAACAGTGAGGAGAAAAGGCACTGTGAAGGAGAGGCTGTCTGGATGTGTTGCCTACATAGAGAAAGCACAGCCGAGAGAGTTAGCTCCTTACTTAAGGACTCCCAGAGAATCCCGAAAAAAGCTGGAAAGGGAATGGTATGAGACAGATGCCCAATCAATAATGCCTGACACGTTCTCTAGAGGTTCAAAGACATGTGACATCAGCACAAAGCTCCTTTCCTAGTTTAAGTGCCACATGTACATCCTCTTCCCCATCTCTCTTTAGGGGTCCTAACAAACCAGAATGGAGCCTCAGAGACCCCTGGCACTGTCCAACCACCCTAAATGATGTAATTTCACAGGAGTGAGGAATCTTACCTTTCCACCTTCCAGGTACAGGTCTGAGCAAGGCCGAATAGCTTCATTTTAAACTACAGTCCAGAAGTTAGAGGAAGGGAGCCAGACGGTGGAAGACAGCCATGCTAACTGTAGATTAAGTATATAACACTCTCAGCATATTTAATTCACCAGTTACTAGATCTCCTCTCTGAATTCTGATTTCCATCCTTTTGCTAGAAAGGTTTAACCCTCCTATGTCCTGTTAAAATTGCCACAAATAAATGAATACTTCAAACTCTAATCTTGTCTTAGCAAATAATTTGTTGAGCAATCCTGAGAATTAAAAAAAACCCAGAAAACTAACTTCCTCTAGGTGTTAAGAGTCTACCAAGTTTAATGCTCCTGGTGAGGGCTTAGTGACTGACCTAAGGATCCTTAGCTGTTAACGCAAATGCTAACGGGGCTAGACTCTTCTGTGCTTCAGTTTCCACACTGGAGCAGAGCCTACAAGACAGGGATCTACCACTACTGCCATGACAAAGGTCAAACACCAGTGCTAAGGTGTTTAGGTCAACGTAAGTATCACCCAGAGTTAAGCCAAACCAAAATCAATTCTAACAGCCCAACCCCTTCACTTCATTCTAGTTTCCACTCTTATCAGAGAAAACAGCACACCACAATTATCTGTGAAACTTTTTTTTTTTTAGTTTATATAGCCCTTCCTCCCCTTCTAAGACTCTGCTATTCCTCTATCAGAATGGCAAGAAGGCCCCACAGATGATTGTTAGAGCCGCTGCTCTTAAAGGATTCCACACACTCTGTCTTTAGAAAATCTCTGGGTATGTGGGGCACCTGGGTGGTGGTTCAGTTGGTAAAATGTTTGACTCCTGGTGTCAGCTCAGGTCATGATCTCACAGTGGTGAGATGGAGCCCCATGTGTTGGAGTCTGCATTGGGCATGGAGCCTGCTTGAGATTCTCTCTCTCTCCCTCAGCTAAAGGAAAGAAGGAAGGGAGGGAGGGAGGGAGGGAGGGAGGGAGGAAAGAAAGAAGGAAGGAAGGAAGGAAGGAAGGAAGGAAGGAAGGAAGGAAGGAAGGAAGGAAGGAAGGAAGGAAGGAAGAAAGGGAAAGAAAGAAAAAAGAAAAGAAAATCTCTGGGAATAGCAACAGAGAGCAGACACTCAGGTCCTCTCAGCCCATGTGAATGGAACTGCTAAAGGATTGCTAAAGCAATAGATGGGGAAGAAAACCATACCGTCAAATAAACTAGACCTGCACAACTCCCAAAGGCCTCACCTTCTCTGTTGCATTATGCAACACTGAGTCTCCATACTTCATTTTGATCTCCCAGGCAGTAGTGAAATCAAGCCAGAGCTTGCCTGAGGCCATTCAGAGCAGTGAGTTGTACAATCTAGTTCTGGAAAAGCGGCTTTCTTACTGCTCACCGAGTGTGAGCCAAGGGCGGAAAACAGGAATTCACATTCCAGCTGCAACAAATGACTAGAGCACAGAACACCAGACACGTTGGTGCTAAAGCACTTGGCTGCCAGCTCCATAGGAAGAAGCACTCACTGTCCAAGGGTTTACAGTGAGTAGGCAATGAAGCATGACCTGAGGAAGTGGAAGAGTTTAACTGGTTTAAAGAGGGCCCAAAGCTCCCTGAGTCAGGACAGAAGAGCTGTGTCATGATTTGTACGGAAAGAGAAAGGGCAATTATTTTTCTTACCTCTGGAGAGAAAAGGGAGGAAGACATCAATAACGACCTTAGGTATGTGCAACTAGAAACCGTCTGTTACAAACGGGGACAGGATATACACTGTATTGATATTTACTGAAGGCTCAAGTTGACCCGGGTACTAAGCAAAATACCGTAGGGGCCTGCGGACCAGCGGCATCAGCCTCACCTGGAAGCTGGTCAGGAATGCGTCATCTCGAACCTTACCCCAGACCTACAGACCCCATCTCCAGATCCCTGAGTGGGTCGCGTGCACGTGTTAAGTGTGGTAACGAAGTGCCGCAAAACACCTCACTGGATTCCCACAACAGCCCTGTGAGGCAGGCAGTGATCATCTCCGTCTCACAGAGGAAAAGTCAAGATTCAGACGAACCGATTGTCCAAGGTCACAGAACTCTGGGGTGGCGGGGTCGCCGACATTCTGCCTAAACGGGCCTGCGAGAGGAGTCCGCAGCCCGGGCCCGGAAACGCCCGGCCCTGCGCCGCCCAGGACGGGAGAGGCGGCCAAGGCCCAGGTGGACAGGGAGCGGCCGCCGAGTCCTCATCCGCGGCCGCCGCCACTCACCTGAGCCTGGTGAACACGGGCGCCGCAACACCAGACCCTGGATCCCGCGAGCTTCCGCGCCACCGCCACTCCACCAGCAACACCCGGACCTCACAGCTCCACTTCCGGCCAACTGCCCGCTACTTCCGCCTGCTGCGCCGGTGACGGGTGCGGCCGAGGCTCAAAAGGCTCTGTCAGCGTTTTCCAAGGACGTTTTCCATTGTAGGACGGTGCCGAGAGGCCGGGGGAGTCTAGGACCCGCGGAGGCGAAACAGCGCCGTGGATGGACCTCTCTGGAAGTCGCTAAATAGCGTAGATACAGGTTCGAATCCCAGACCACCACTCAGGGTTAAAAAAAATATATATTTTTTTTAACATTTATTTATTATTGAGAGACAGAGCGAGACAGAGCATGAGCAGGGGAGGGGCCGAGAGACGGGGAGACACAGAATCCGAAGCAGGCTCCAGGCTCTGAGCTGTCAGCACAGAGCACAAATCGAGAGGTCATGACCTGAGCCGAAGTGGGATGCTTAACTATCGGAGCTACCCGGGCGCCCCGCCACCCAGGGTTTTATAGCCTTAGAGAAATCACATTAACTCACTAAGCCTAGTTTCTCATCTGTATGGTGAGGGTAATCATCAATAATAGAGGCATCTGTGAAATGCTCTCAGGAGAAGAGTTAGTGATGAAGAGCCGAGCCTGTTAGGAGAAATGGATATGAGGAGCCAGAGCTGGAGGAGGCCAGTGCTATATAGTAGATGAAGCCAGGGTCATCCTTCACCTCCCTAAGTAGAGGGGTTCACACCTGAGCTGCTATCAGCACCTAAGCAAGGAAGAGACCCTCCAAGAGGGCCTGACCCAACACTGCCATTCTGGGGAAAACTTGAGCACTGCTGGTTGGGTTTGTCATACCTTGTCAGTGCCCTGGTTGCTGGTCCACCTATCCTAAGTGCTGTGAAGGAGACTTGAGAACTGACTTTCCCTCCAAGGTACCATCTTGTCCGGGAGACAAAAACCAATGCAGCGAGGACACTTCACTGCAAGGAGGGGCAAGCCTGGCAACCCAACTCTGGAGCTCTGCGGAGGGCACTGTTTGCCTGGTTTTCTCACTAGGGCCAGACCAGAGCAAATATTCCTTCTTGCTGATTAGGACTCTCTTTGCCAGAAGAACCCAGAGAGAGCAGAGGGCCCATCCCCAGGGGATGAACCAGATTGCTCCAATGCAGCCATGACAGTCCTGTTCTTCTTTGCCAAATACTCAGTTTCCCAGCCTCCCTTGAAGTGAGAAGAGGATGCCGCTCAGTTCTGCCCATCAACATTTAAAGGGAAATTTACCGGCAGGATTCTGGAAAACTTTTATCTTCATGATAAAGTAGTACTGCCTCAATCCCTTCGTGGAGCTGTGGCAGCCACTTTGTGGCATGGAGAGAACTACATACTATGGATGGGAGAGTAGGAACATTAAGTCTTATGTCCTTGAAACAATACTTATGACAGGATGCTTGTGACCAGAATTGTCAGGTAAGGAAAAATAAACCAGCCTTTAAATTCTTGTAAATCAAGTTGTTCCTTGCAGCAGGATGCATTCTTGACTGGGGGCGGGGGGGCTCCGTAAAGATGACAGAAGCAATTATAAAGGACAGCACTTACCCGCAAAGGACAGCTCCATGCTCGCAGCACTCTTGGGTCCATTCTGTCTTTGGGGCCTCACCACTGATTACAAGTCTGTTCTCAGCCTTCGTGTTTTTGTATTCTGCCCTCAAACTTTGGCCAGTCGCTATAACATGGCTCAGGATACTACATCTAGCTGTCCTGCATCACCTACCTTCCAAGCAGCAGCCTGGTGTCCAGATGCTGAGTTGGACCCACCTAGAAACCCTTCAGGGTGACAATCCTAGCCGAAGAGAAAGCCACGGGCAGAAACTTGGAACCACGACTCCTCCTGGGCAACATGGAGGAGCTTGGGCTTTGGGCCAACCTTCTGGCATGGCCCAGTGAGCACCTCCGGACTTATGCCTCCTCTGGGAAATCCGTTTACTCCAGCTTTGCCCTCCACACCCCCTAACCCAGCTTCACCTCCCAAACCTGCAAAGACACAAGCAGGCCAAAGAATGCCACTCAAGAGGCTTTCTCCATTTTATTTCTTTGGGAAAAGAAAACGAAGTCTTTCCATCACATATGGTAGAGATATATATTTATATATATTTATATATAATTTCTTTTGTGGTTGGAAGTCCCAAAGCTGAGTCTGTTCATTTTTTTTTTTTTTTTTCTATTTTTTTCCTACTAATGCCTTCTCTTCCCCCTGCCCCTCTGGCCTAGGCCCAGGTTCTGGGGCAGGTGCAGTGAGGGGTGAGTGGAATGGGCAGTGATTACCAGGATGGCTCCCCCAACCAGTTCAGAGATCTGGTGAGGGTCACCGGGAAGGGGCTGTGCAGAGGGACAGAGGCCACACAGAGGGGCACTCTTGTTTTTGTGGGGGACGCACAGCTCATTAAACAGTCACCAGTCATGGGAGGAGGCTGGTCAGGGGTTGGGGAACTTGCTCACAGTAGTTGCCAGCTCTCTCCACCCTGCCCTCCAAACCCAGTCTTGAGGGTGGGAGGAAGAGAGTGAAAAGAGAGAAATACAAGGGTTGAGGGCCAAGCCTCCTCTAATTTTTATTGCTGGTGAATTAGAAATTTGCCTTTCCCTTCCTGTCTTACGGAGATAGACTCTGAGAGGATACCGAGAGGGAAGTGACATTGCTGTCACAGCCCCCACTGATGGCCATGCAGGCCTACCCTGGGCAAACCCAGGGTCCTGGGAACTCAGGGGTCAGTATTCCTCTCAGGTCAGCTTTGTCCTTCAAGGGCAATCACAACCATCCCCCTCGCCCCCCAAAACAAAGGCCTCTGGCTCAGGCTTGGGCCCATTGGAGCTTGGAAGTGGGCAGTGCACCAAAGATCAAGCAGAATTTTCTACTGGAAGAAAAGGTGAGGTTTGGGGGAAGAGGCGGCCTAGGACAATGATGTTCTGAGCGTGAAAGCAGAGGGAGGCTGGGGGAATCGAGTGGGAGAAGACACAGGAAGACATCACAGACACTCATATGACCTCAGAAACTGGGTGAGGGGAGTGCCTGAGAGGCAGGTAGCACTTACGAGCTGTAGTTAGAGCCGGACAGTGGCCCTGGGTGTGGGGTGAGCCAAGCAGATGGGGCTATCACCCTGTGGGATCCTGGCCGGAAGGGTGGGGTAGAGCTAAAAAGCCTCCAGGTGAACCTTCCCAAGTACAGGAGGGCAGATCTTCCCCGGGCACTGAACCTCCACCCCAGCCTCCCCTCCAGCCTGATACGCACATACAGACATACACTCAGGACCAGGCCAGGCTCTGAGGCCTAAGCCCAAGAGACCTTGGTGGGGGAGGGGCTGGGCAAGTAGCCCTCTCAACCACAGACAGGCCATCTGCTCCCACTTGTCCTGCCAATCTGCCCAGGGAGGGGTAATAGAGCAGGAAGGAGAGAGGCCAGGAGCCCAAGGTCTGTCAGCTTCAGCAGATCCCATGCAGGCCCTCTCAGACTACATGGCCTAGGAGGTGACCACAGAGAGCATCACTGGACACCGGGGTGGCCAACAGTAGGAGCCCAGACCTACCAAGGGGCTGGGGCACCTCATGGCACTTCAGGCCTGCTATCTCCATCTCTAACAAAGCAGCACTAATAAGGGGAGCATGGGCTCCCCTGCTGCCTTGGCCCCTCAACCCCCACTCATTCTGCCTCCCTCTATCCCCTCCTTGGGAGGAGGGTCCGAGTGGGTTGCCCAGCCATAGGGCCTGGAGGGCCCCCAGTGGGGGGAGGGGAGGGGTCTGGTCACAGCTGCTTTGAGAACCTCTTTGGTCTGGGGACATGGGGGACATGGGGAAGAGAGAAGGTGGGGAGGAGACACTGTGGACTCTGGCCTTTGACAGGGCATTTGTCAAAAGGCCACATGCCCATGTTGGTGGTGGGGGGGGGGGGTCAGATTTCTGTGGACTCAATGCGCTCGAGGCGGGAGGGCGTCCAGGCTTTCTTCTCCTCGCCGTGTTGCGGGGTGGGTGTGCTGGCACCCCCCGCAGCCCCGCGCTCCCGCAGCCGCCGCTCCAGCTGCTGGTTGCGCTGGTACATCTCCACGTAACTCAGCTGCAGCTGCTTCTGGTACTCGATGACCTTCTCCTTCTCCTCCAGCCACACGCGGCGCTCCTCCGCGAAGCTGGCTCCCTGGCGCTCCCGGGCTCGCCGCTCGGCCGCCAGCTCTGCCTGCAGCCTCCCCACCTCCCGCCGCAGGGCCCGCGTCCCGCTCTCCCCGCCAGCATCCGCCTCCCCGTCCAAGGAAACCAACGAGGCGGCGGCGGCCACCCCGGCCTGCCGGCGCATCTTGGCCTCGTCGCTCTCGCACGTGGCCAGGGCATCCTGGGGCTCCGCCGGGTCCACAGGGGTCAGCGCAGGTTTGAGGCAGGCCGCGGACAGCTCGGCCTCACCCAGCTCCAGGCTGGCCTGTTTGCTGCCGAAGGAGTCCCTCAGGCTGAGCAGCTGCTCCTCCTTCTCCCGCAGCGAGGCCCGGCCCTCCCGCAGCTGCGAGCGCAGCCCCACGATCTCGCTCAGCTTCTGGGACACGTCGGCCTGCGAGTCCTTCAGCTGCTGCTTCAGGAGGGAGATCTCCCCTGCCTTCTGGCACACCTGCACAGGGGCAGAGGCGAGGAGGGCCAGGGTCAAGGCAGAGCCCTGTTGGCTGGCACCACAGCCACCACATCCAACCCCAGAGGCACACAGCATGCCCAGACACAGCGTCCGCTCATGGGACATTCAGGAAGGACACACCGGGCCCTCTTCGGACTCAGGACACACCTGGCTCAGCTCACACAGCCCTGGGCCCGCTCTGGTGCCCACAGACATTCCTAATCGTTTTTGTCTCCCTCCCCTTCACTCCCCTGTGACAGTGGGCCACAGCTCTGGGTTTCTCTGGAGGGACAGAAGGAAGGAGACTCAGAGGGGGAAAGCCCAAGCCCCCTGCCCGCACCTCCCACTTAGTTTCCTCCATCCGGGGCAGGAAGTCAGCCTGCTCCTTCTGGCAGGCGGCCACCTTGTCCTCAAGCTCTTCCCGCTGCCGCATCAGCCGGGCTGCCTCCTCCTGCAGCTGCTTCTTGTCCTGCTGCAGTCGCAGCACCTGCAGCTGTAGGCCCTGCTGGGCGCGCTGGGCGCGGCGGGCCACCTGCTGCAGCTTCCCACTGCAGCCCTGCCGCAGCTCAGCCAGCTCACGCTCCCACGCCTTCTGCCGCTCCTCCAGCACCTGGGCCACCGCGGCCTCGCTCTGTTCCAGGCTCCGCCGCAGGGCTGCCACCTCCTGCTCCTTCTCCCACAGCCGCTCCTCTAGCTCCTGGATCAGAGCACTGGGCGAGGGTGGTGAGCAGGCCGCGAAGGGCAGGCCTCCACCTCCGCCCTCCCCAGACCCCAGGTGGCCTGGCCGACCCATGGAGGAGGACGACCCACTCTTGCTGGAGGCCCGCCCACTGTCGGAGGTTCCCAGGTCCTGGTAGCCCGAGCCACCACCGCTGCTGCCGCCACTGCCACCACCGTAGCTGGCAGTGCCGATGCGGTTGATGTGGCTGGTGGAGGCACTGAGGGGCGCCAGGTGCTGGCTATAGCTGGAGCTGTAGGTGGGCAGGCTTGTGAGTGAGTTCCGGCCGGAGTCTGAGAGGCCGCCCCCACCCCCGCCCGCTGGGGTCATGGTCCGAGACTTGTCTAGTCCGCCCTTGAGACCACCAGGACCCTGTCGCCCCTCAGGAGTACCATTGGTTTGTGGGGGGCACAAGTTCTGCATGGAGTGGAAGTTCTTGGGTACAACGGGCTTGAAGGCTGAAGGCCGAACTAGCGGCTCTGAGCACTGAGTAAAAGCAAGCAAGGGGGAGTAGGCATCAGAATGGGGCCTTAGCCCTGGCTCCAGCCTCTTCCCTTTGAGACACGTTCAGCCCCGCCCCCAATTAATCTGCATCCTCAGGGTCCCTTGAAGCTGGGTCTCCACCTCACGCTACCTGAAAACCAAGTCTCTGCCCTGGGACCACCAGCTAGACTTGGCCCTCAAGACCCCTCCCCATGTCTTCTTAGCCCAACCTCTGGCCCCCACAACCCCACCTCCAGGGCCCACTTGATCCTCCTCTCTGGACAGCCTCCCATCTCCCAGAAAAGGGCCCTGGGGACTGACCTGGTCTAGCTTGCCAGAGGTGGCCAGGAGCTTGGGCGGATGACTGGGCTCACGATACTGTGGTGGGGCCTTGTCACTGCCACCGCTGCTGCTACTGCCACCACTGCTGCCCACCACATTGCCGCAGACATCAGTGTGGTCACTGCCCCGCAGCTCGCCGTTGAGGTAGAGGGAGTTGGCGAGAGCCTTGTCTTCTGAGGGGTAGCGGCCTGGCCTCTCCCTGCTCGCCCCACCACCACTGCTGCGGGGGCCGGGGAAACTGCCCTGGCTGCCCCCACCCCCTGTGCGGGTGCCCACACTCTTCATGGCGAACTCCTGGGCATGGGCCACCCCACTGCCCACACTGCCCATGGCCAGGCGAGGGTCTGGGGGTCCGAGCTCAGAGGGCCGAGGGGCAAAGGCCAGGAGAGGATCCCGCCCTGGGTCAGCACGCACAGGCAGTGTCTCCAGCTTCGCCATGACTAAGCCAAGGGGACACTGTGGGCACAGGTGGGAAGACAAAGATAGGTCAGTCCCACCCCTACTCCCACCACCCCAGCCAAGTCAGCCCCAGCACCACCTGCGCCCCACCCTCTGGTGTCCCCTTCCCTCTAATGGGCACAAGCGTTCCCGGACACCCAGGGTGAAGGAGTGGGGCCGGGGTAAGAGGACAGCTTGGTAACGGGGTGCCTGTTGCCCACCTGATGAAGCCCAGGCCCCAGGGCACCATGCACATTCCCTCCCAGCTTTGCATTCCTCTCCTCAGCTCCTGCCTCAACCCCACCTCCTCCATGAGCCCTAGTTCTTCACTGCAGCCCTCAGAATTTAGGTGTTCTTGACCTTGGGTCTGGGCACCTACTACCCAACCGCATGGGCTGGGGATAGGAGGCTGGAAGGGGACAATAATACCCGAATTCAACAGGGACCCTCAGAAATTAAGAGAGGGAGAGAACCCACCCCTATCCAAATATTGTGTGTGTGGGTGGTGGGGAGGTCCTTCCCGGGCCCCTAACCTAGGGTGTTGCAGTCAAGGGAAGAAGTGGAGGCTCACTACCAGCGCAGGCTCCTCTCCTTGCCTTTCCAAGGGGGTGGGGGGCCGACGGGTCCTCAAGCCTGGGACCCTCCGAGGCCCGGTCTGCAGGGGCCATGTGCCTCACTCTCGCAGTCGGGGCTCGGCCCGAACCAGCTGTGCGACTTTGGACGGGCCGACTGAGCCATCCCGGACTGCAGTTTTCTCCTCTGCGAAATGGGAGGAATGAAGGACCTACCTCGTGGAGCTGCCGCGTGTCAGGCGCCCCGAGGCGGCGGGCGCTGGAGAGGACCGAGGTCTCGGTGCGGGAGGGCGGGAGCTGCAGCTGCCGCGCGCCCGTGGGTCGCCTGTGGGCGCCACCTCAGGCACGCCCCACCCCCCGCAGACGGCCGGGGACCGCGGCAGTCGCGCTTGGCGAAGGGATCTTCCCGAGGTCTCCCCAACTCGGCCGCACGAGGGGCCCCTTTGCCACGGTCAATACCTCTGCAGAAGCCCGGGCGCTGGCTGAGGCCGGGGCAGAGGACGAGGTGCAGGTGGCTGCGGGCGCGGGCCTTGCCTCCCTCCGGGCCAGTGTTTCCCACAGGTGGGCGGGGCGAGGGGCGGGGCTTCTGCACCCAGCTGCGCCCGCAGGGGATTCCGCGCGGCCGATCCCCCACTAAGAATTCACTGCCACCGGGAAGACTTCCTGGATTACTGCCTCCCCCCGTTCTCTATGGACCCTGAACCACGAAGTTCTCTGAGCCCTTCCGTGAGCGTGCGCCCCCCCCCCTCCCTCCCCTAAGGCCAGCCCACAAGAGCAGGGGGAGCAGCGCAAGCAGGGCGACAGGGCCTCGGGTTACCTGTGCTCTGGGAGGCCCCGCTTCCTGGTTCTTTTGTCTCAAATCCACACCTGGAAACACCTGCCCCAGAGATCCGCATAATCTAGCGAGGCAAAGGCACCAGGCAGTGCCAGCCGTGCTTGTAGACCCTCAAATACGTTTGTCAGAGGTGGCAGGGGCACCCTTCAGGCTTTTACCCTCTACTCCCATGAGAAACCAGGCAAGGAGCCCTCCTTCTCTACGAAGATGAAGGGGTCCAGGTGGCACCTCAGTGCCCCTCAGGCTGTCTTCTACCCAGATGCCTATTCTCATGCCGTGGCCTTGCTATTAGGCCCCAGACCAGGGGATCCTGACAAAAATCTTGCCCTTCAGGAGTCTTTTGGCTACCACACCTGGAATTACAGCTTTAAGTGGTTGGGAAGTTCACCACCAAGCCAGTCCCCACTGCCTTTGTAAAATTCCATTCTCTCAGCATCTGCCCCCCAGGGGTGGAGAAGAGTACTGTACCACCTCCCTCCCTAGAGCCAGTCTGTCCCCACATGCAGGGCTGAGACTAGGGTGAGGCCAGGGATGCACCTAGTAATTTAAGTGCAGTATCAGTAAATGCAGGACCCTGAGAGTGAGTGCTTTCTTACCTCTCATGCCTCACTCTAGTTCCTGCACTGCCCCCACTCCCCACATACTCCAGCCCAGCTACCCTTCAACTCAAAAATCCCCCTCCCACCCTAAGCATGATCCCCTTCTCAGCATCCTTGGGTCCAGTGTAGGGAGCAGCTGGGGCATCAGGGTGGATGTGACACCCTTAACAAAACAGAGGGAGACTGTTTGGGGAAACAGGTACTTTGGGAAGGACCAGAGAAAGATCTCTCTCACCTACTGGATGGAAAGAGAGACTGGGGTGGTCAGCATTCAAGGGTGGTGTGGGTGGAGCCCAGCATCGAGCTGGGGGGGGGGGGGGGCAGAGCCCCGGAAGTCTGGGAGGCAGTGTGGACTCAAGACGGAGGCCAGAAGAAGGCAGGCCCTGCAAACCAAGCTGGGGGGCTTCGAGAATGTGGGAGCAGCTCCCAGTAGTAAAAAGAGGCCAGGTAAAATTGGGATTGGGAGGTGTATCTTGGATTTGGCAGGTGGAAACCTCACTGGTGTCTATGAGAGAATGGCTTTAGAAAAGTGGTGAATAGCAAAGCCAGACTAGAGGAGTAGACGGATCTGGAGGGAAAGACGGGAGCGTTCTCTGCTAAAAGAGAAGGTCAGAGAAGACAGTAGTTTAAGGTGGTTTGGGATCCAAAGGCTCTTTTCTAATTTTAAATTAAGCATGGTAGAAACCTGAGTATGTTGATATGGTGAAGGAAGGTGCCAATAGCGAGATTAGAGATCTAGGCAAGGGGGCTACACCAGATGCCTGGATGTGGGCAGGCGCAAACTTCAGAAGTGATCACATTGATCATGACAGTGACAGAGGATAATGTTTGCGAAGGTGCTTTATGAGCTGTACGGTGCATTACAAACATGCAGTACTACCTTCTCTGAGATTCAGGGAAGAAGAACCTGCCATAGGTTGGGGCTGATTGTATGCCACTCTGCCCCACTATTTCCCTGGAATGTGTGTGGTCTCCAGACAAGCTCAATGCCCAGAGACCTAGTTGGAAATGAGGTGTTCCCAGGACTGTCTCCTGGGACCATCTCCTGCTCTACCTGGGGAATCTTTGATTGTCAACTCACAGCAGCTCTCCCTGGGGCCTCGTTCCCCAAAGAGGGAATTGCCATTTCTAACCTGTCATGATCAACCTCATGCAAATGTTCCCTGCCCCTTGCCTCCCCCAAGTTTGGGCTGCTGCAGCTTCTTTTCTCAAAACCCCAGCAGGGAGCTGGCAGGACAAAGAGGGGCATATGTGTCCCTGACAGGCAGAAACTGAGCCCAGAGGAAGGGTTTGAGCTTCGTGTATGGGTCCGGGTCCTGAACTGGCCCAGGTAGCTAAGTGGTTTGCATAGGCAGCCTCATGGCATCAGCTCGAGCACCTGAGATGACAGGTTGCCCAATTCTGCCTCTCTGTACCATCAACCTTCAGTGCCTGGGGCATTATGCACAGTATTGATGGTCGCAAAGGGACCAAATGAACTATATCTGGGGTTTGCATGGGCAGGTCCTTCCAACCCCATGACCACTCAACCCCTCCCTCCCTATGTCCTTCCTAAAGCTAAGAACACTCCACCCTTCTCTTGTGGTCTCAGAGGCTCCTATACCAACCCATTTACCCCCTAAAGCTTTCAGTAGCCCCTCTTGCCAGCACCCTTGCTGGGGGCTCCTCACTGGCCTTTTCCCCCTGCACTCCCTCCTACACACCGCTGCCAGAGGACTCTTTCTAAAGGGCAAAACTGATCTTGTCCCCGCTCTGCCTAAATTCTTCCAAGAGCAGCACCAAGAACAGTCGAAGGAGTTCTGGAGGCATCAGCTCAAGTGTAAATCCCAGCTGAACTGATTAGGGATGAACGCGTGCAGGTTATTTCACCTCGGGTTTTCACACCTACCTTACAGGAATCTTAAGAAGTAAATGTATTATGGGTAAAAGGCCTGGCATTTCTCTCAGTCCCCAGAACCAGAGCAGAGCTTGCGGCAGGGCCTCCAAGGCATCTCCTACTGCCCATCCTATTCCCCCTAACCTGAGCCCCTCTCCACTCCACACAAAATCTCTTCCCAGATCTCTATGCCCACCCTGCATCCTTCAAGGACCAATCCAAATGCTGCCTCCCAGGACAGCATCCCTGATCATCCCAGGGGAGCAGGGGCCTTGGGGCACTTGGCTCAGGCTACTCCAGGGAGATTTCACTCTGAGGCTTACCCCC